GTGCTACCATCCCTGGCTATATTTCTCTCTTTAAAATGGATATATTCAGGCAAGGGATTTAGCTCAGTGGTTTTACCACCTATCTTGCAAGCATAAGGGCCTGAGTTTGATCCCCGGTACCAGAAAGAAAGAAAGAGAGAGAGAGAAAGATTCTTACAAAATTAAGCTGCCATTGTCACACGTAACAATGATTTCTTTTCATCATTAAATTTCCAGTTCATAAAATTTTCCAAAATAAATAATATGTAAATTTCCTCAAACTATTTGAAGTACAAGATATATGTGCATTTCCTCCACAGTATATACTGAAGAAATACAGTATGGTAATGTAATATGAAGGAGGCAGAAATCTCACTCTCATTGATGCTAACATCACATAGCACACAGAGAAGCTGCCAGCCTAGTTGCTCCATTGTAAATTTTCTTTGTAACTGTATCTAATGGCTTCATCCAGTGATGATCAATTAGAGTTACAAATGTGATTTCACAATTCTGTTATTTCTTGTCCACTTATTAGCTGGAATTTTTCTTTAAAAAATATCACCCCTAAGGCTATTTGATTACCATGAAATATAATTCATAGAGGAAAATCAAGATAAATGATTAATTCTCCCCCTTAATTTCAATTACCTACATAGTTTTAACAATAGTGAACAAATTATAAACAGAGTGTTTATTTTCTAATTCATCTTCTTCTTGTTTCCTCTAGTTAAATTAAAGCTCTGACATGATGAAGCTTTTTTAAACCATGAAGGGAATTGATATATTTCTGTTTGAATAATGCAAATTCATAGAAATATAAAGGACCCCAGAGATCACCTATTTTAGCCCCTACATAGAACAAGTGAAGAAACTGAGGCATGAGGATATTATATTGTGTTTAGTTCGGTGGATATATCAAAACTAGAACCCAGATCTGCCAGTTCTAGTGTCTCATCCAGATGATGATGCACCCATGAAAGTGTTTTTGGAAAGATAATAGCTACATTCTTTTATTCTTCCATAGGTAGGGCATTGTGATGACTATTTCACTTCAAACCAAGAAGAAATGTGAGTTATCCCGATGTATTGTTTGCTTGCCACAGGTTGTTTTAAAGAAAGGAGTTGCTTGGTGAAGTGAATCTTTCTATTGAAGAATTCTTGATAATTTGCACTGGAATAAAGAACTGACAGTTCTCTTTTGAAAGTAAAAATAATATGTCAATTCTATGTCTATAGAATCCTAAGTCCTTAATCCTGTACTATAATTAAGAGGTATCAGACATGGTTCCTACTCTCTAAAATGTAACTGGAAAAGTCAGGCATCCATTTAAAAATAGTCATAAAAGAATTAGGACACAGTTCTGGTCATAATAGCAAGGATTTCCCAAGATTGCCATGTTCGTGGCCAAGAGATTGGGTGGGCAAAGAATACTGTGGGCCTCACAGAGGAGAGAGAGCCAGGTTGTCCCGAGGATAGGCAGGCATTTGGGGCTGGGCAATAGCTTGGAACCATAATGAGGAGGGAGGAAATGCCAGAGAAATGCCTGATAAATCCATCTCACTGGTATGAGAAATTTATTTTTAAAAGGCCCTAAATACAGAGCACTTTATTCCATCAGATGTGGAAAGCCACTGAGGATCCATGGGCAGCAGGTGGCATACAGAAGTCCCAAGGAACCCAGCTCACTGCCTTACTTCCAGCTCAGGGTCTATCATCTCCTACCTGGGAAGATTGGGGCCCCACCCTGGTTCATGGTTTCTAACCCTTTTTGTGAAAGTAAACTTCAGAATGTTTGGTATAAAATAATTCTACTTGCACAGGCCATTTCTCCTGGATCAGTTTATAAACCCTTCCCCTCCACCCTAAATTTCTACCTCTAGTGCCATTTTTCCCTGTCCTTCCCTATTCAATCCTACTGCAAATCCATGCAGTCAATAAACATTTATTGGATAATATGCCAAGCACCATCCAAAGCACTGGACAGATCTAGCAAGCCTCCTGCTCATAGGACTTACAACCTAGCAGAAAGAAACAGACAACACAATATACGAGGAAATAAAAAACAAAATTATTTCAGATTGTCAAGTAGGTATACAGTGATTGATAGCAAGTAATTGAGCATGAGTAAACTCCTGAAAATAGGGCCATTAATGAGGGCTTCCCCAAAGACAGGACACTTGATCTGACACCTCGGTAATGAGACAGTGTTGGTGTTCAGAGCCTGGGGAACATTGCTCCAGACAGACAGAACAGTAAATGCGAAGTTCCCCAGTTGAGACAGGGCCTCATGCATCAAGGCATAAGAAGAAGTTCAGTGTAGGTGGAACAGAGTCAGTGAAGTTGTGACTGGTCTGGAATGAAATAAGAGGAGCGGAAAGGGATTATATCATGTCAATCCTTGTAGTTGTTGGGGAGCCATTTGTATTTGATTTTGAGAGTGACAGGAAACCACTGGAGGGTTTTATATGGAGAAGTGACAAAATCTGAATAATGATTTTAAAAGACCACTATAATACACACAGAAGAATATTGATTATAATGTGTGTGGGAGGAGCAAAGGTCTGGAGAATAACTAGTTAGCCATCAACAAGGTCAAGGCAAACAATTCGTTATATGTGCATGTACAATGGAACACCAGGTAGCTGTGATAAAAGACAGGCAGAGATCTGTATTCTGATATGGGTTGTGTGTGAGGGAAAAGGCAAGGTGCTAGACCGTGTGAGGGAGGGGTAGAGTGAAACTCTTAAAGAGAAGACTTTACATAAAAATGGGTCCTAAGACTTAGTCTCAGATGCTTTCCTAATTGCCCTTCAAGGGTCAAGCTAGTGCTGGCCACACAGTCAGCCATACTGTACCTGTGTCTCTTTCTGTATTCCTGATGTCTTCACCAGCAAAAATCAGCCACAGGGCATTGGTCCACCAGAGCTGTTTATACCTGCATGCTTGACAGATATTTAGCAGGACAGACTTGTGGTAAGGGCCCTATCAGTCACACCCAAAACAGGGTCAGTGCATCAGCACTAAGCATTAGCAGTAAGCACAAAGCTGAGTATGAAGCTTCTTTCACATAAAAGGAAGTGGGGTTAGCCTGATACTTACCATGGAAGGAATTTCTTTGCTGAATTTTCTAACTTGAAAAGAGAATTGGTATAGAGTGGAACAACGCACACATGGGGTGAGGGATAGAGAATGAGGGATAAAAATCCTCTTCCACTGGGACATCTTCCTGTAGGGTCAACACCAGTAGGGCCAATAGAGTGTCCTCTTTTGTTCTGCCTTCCTCTTTAACTGACTGTTTCTATGTTCCACCCTTGAAACCTTTGAGCAAAAGGCTTCAGTCAGTCTCATCTGCCTCATTTCCAGATGGGATGCACTGAAGCTTACTAAGTACATTCATCGGTTTCAGAATACTCTCAGGAAACATCTCAGAGGCACCCAATTTGCACACTTACAGATGGGACTGGCACAATGTATGTAAAAAAGTAAAAGATATGATGAGTTAAGAAAACAAGTTTGTTGGTTAAATAACTCATCACTGTTTTACTCCACAGAAGTGTTTTCAAGTTTAACTTAACTGTTTTCCACTTTGGTGAAGATGTATGCTTACAAAAAAATAAGAAGCGCTTTTGAAATCCCTCTTAAAATCTGAATGGATGCCAACATGTATCCTCTGCCTGTGAATCTTAACATCTGCCCCCAGGAGTCTGAGTGACTGGAAATATTTGTCCATCTTTGTGTGTCTGTGTTTATAAGACCCCTGAGACCAGAAGCAGGATTATCGACAGTTGTTGATTTTCAACAGTGTCTGGTCTAGAGAATGCTTTTTGGTGGGGACAGTGTGGCTACCCCCACAGATCTAGGTGACATGAAAGGATGACGGATGGGAATAGAACATATGTGGAATTATCTTGCTGATAAATGAACAGTAAATGTCATTGCTGCGATCTGCCAGAGCCCTGTGATTTGCCTCTAATGCGGCCCTTTGGTGAGCAGAGTTCTTTAGGACTTTGAAGCACTGGTGTAATGTCATGCAGCTGTTCCACCAAATGAGTATTGGTTCATTTCTGCTTGCTAGGCCATGGTGGGCAACTTCTTGAGGGAAGCCCTGGTGATTAGAAGAGCAACAGCTTTGTGTTCATGATCAGGCCAAGACTTACCAAATTTAGCAACATATCCTAAAGAAATAGCAGCTTCTGAATCCTTTTGTGACTGAACAGCTCAGACACAGACCCCAAAGTCATAACGTGGTCATTCATTCATCATTCAGTGAGTGAATACTTACCTGAGTTGTACTGCTAGGCATTAAAGAAACAGAAACCAGTATGACTCAGTTCCTGCACTCCGTACCTCTGGTCTCAGAGAGGAGATCCAGGGACACGATGATAACGAAGTCCAGTGTGAGGATGCCTTAGTAAACACCCCAGTGTCGCTTAGTGGTCAGGGTGTGGCTGAGGCACATATGTAGGGCAGTATACATGAATCATGAAGGAAGATATCTGGTGCAGTCTTGGGGTTGCTAGAGGACATTCAAGAAAACTTCCTGGAGGAGTTGATACCTGAATTGATTTCAGAAGGGTAATGGACATGTACTTGGCGAATGAATACTGGCACCAGGAAATAACAGACAACATTTTACAGCTTTAGAAACCCCAACAAGGGCTATATGCTAGGTCAGAGACCTTCACTGTATATCTGATGAATGCTACAAGGCTTCTCCTTGGTAAGATGTCCATATATAATTATAGCAGAATTTCTCATTGCTCTTACATCCCTCGCACAAATTCTCTAGGCACTTATGAACCCCGAGTTAAAGGTTTTGTCAAGAGAATTATATTCTCCAAGCTGGAGGAGTCCTCAGAGACCACCTAAATGGACCAATCCTTCATCAAGTAAACAAAGGCCTAGAAAAGCCAGAGAACTTGTCTGAGGAGGTACAGACCATAGTTTATGCAAAGGGAGGCCCAGAAAAGGGGGGGGGTATCTAAAGCCCCCAGGTCTCATGATATCTTTCCTACAGGGATATTTCCTGGCTGGCACCTGAGCTATGTCGATGTAAAGGACAACTCCCGAGACGAGACCTTCCGCTTCCAGTGTGACCGCTGGCTGTCCAAAAGTGAGGGTGACAGGCAGACAGTTCGTGACATTGCGTGTGCCAACAATGAGATCCGAGAAGAGCTGGAGGAGACCAGTAAGTAGAGACTGTGTGGGCCCAGCTGCCCTGTGATTCCTGGGCTGAGGGTGGGCTGAGGAGGAGGTGGAAAACAGTGTGGCACTGAGAAGACACAGCACAGCTGGAGGGACGTCAGAAGCTCCATGAGGGAGGTACTATGGGGAGGATGCCGTAGTAAACAGCCCAGTATTGCTTAGTGAGTCTGAAACTGTGAAAATACTGATGCCAACTCATGGCCCTGAATAACAGGAACTAATTGGGTAGTAGGAAACACTGGGGACAAGCTCACCCTGACCTGCAGGCTGTGCTGGGCTGTGCAGTTCAGTGTGAAGTCCTCCCTGGTTTATTTTTATTACGTGAACTAAATTCAACTGATGCCTGTGGCAATAGCTGCTGAATCCAGCCTTCCTAGAAACAGAACATAAGAGAAGCAAGCACCTCCATTGATCATTTTCTTTGTCTCTTCTCCATGGGGATATTTAAAGGAAGAGTAATTGATCTTTAAGGTGGATAGCCATCAAGGTCTAGGGAAGTGTGTTCTTAATACACATTCCAGAATGTGGGACTGGCCAACTGGAAGAAGGCTCGCCAAAGGCAGAATCAATGCAAAGAGGGCATTTTTTTTCCAACCTGAATCACTGAAGTGACATTGGGTGAACTGAGAGGTTAGCCCCCCAAATCTCAGTGTCTCAGCACATCAGAATTTCTTCCTCACTCCTAATACATAGTCCAGTATGAGTGTTTAATGGGAGGTCTTCCACAGTGCTATTTAGAGACCAAAGCTCTTTCCATCTAAGTATCTGCTATTTCCAACATGTAGCTTCCACATTTCTTGCAGAAAGGATGAGATCCTGGTGAAGGCCCTCCCCTGCCATCCTAACACAGTACTCATATTCTGTTGATGAGTACTAGTCACGTGGCTCTGCCAGCTACAAAAGCACTTGGGAGCTGTGGTCCCTGGCTGTCAGTCTCTTGTGCAGAACCACCTTGTACCACAGAGGGGAAATGTGCATGGTTGGTGAAAGCAACTCCCTGTCTCTGCAGATCATCCAAACTGCCCAATGATGAAAGTAGCTGTCTCGAGAGGTTAGCATGCCCCGAGTCCCTAGGGCCATTCAAATCAATGCTGACCACACATTTGTCAAATTTTCTGTAGGAGAATTCCTGCCCTAAATCAGAGGGAGGGCCCCCAGCTCTGTCATTGTACTTCCTAAGGAGTCACTGGATACTCAGTTTTGTTGTGAATGTGTTCAGTGCTGTACACTACTTTGTGACCTCTAGTGTGTTTGTACTGGCCTTCACACATGTGTTAGCCTCTGTATTACCTAAAATCCCCCACAGTTCCAGAACAGTCTCGCTTATGTGTGTTGCCTTCTGCAGTGCTGTTAGATTTGGGGCTTAATAAATGCTCAGTGAGTTGATGCCCAGTGAACAGAAGAAGACGTGGTCCTTTTCCTTAGAGCCTCACAATGCAGTGAGAGGGACAATCTTACACCCCTCATACAACAGCCAGGATGAGCAATAGAGGCTCCTCAGACCATTGGTGTTACAGGGGGGAAAGATTTGCAAGGCTTGGAGCAAAATTGCTGAGTCACCTTCTCAGATTTCCAAACAGCCAAATAGCTGCTGCGACCCTTGGGATTTTGATTGGCAGGGAGGTTGCAGAGGGAAGTGTTAGTTCTAGAAGGATGTGTGGATTTAATAGATGGGAGGGCAGGAGCATCAATCAGAAGAGGGCCTGGATGGGTGTGTCATTGCCTCAAGCCTGCAGGGGGCAGCACAGCACATTCCCGGCTGCCCTTGGGGACAAGCAGCCGCACCTGCATTCTCTAGAGGCTTACCCTGGGGAGGGTCACCGCCTCAGCTTGTGCCAAACATCCCAAACCACGGCCACTTTTATTTAATTAACCATGTGACAAATCCTTATTAAACACCCAGAAGCCACGCCCTATTCTAATTTCGGAGAACAAGTGTGAATAAAACAAAGACCCTACCATTGAGGCACTTGTCATTTTCACTGACCCCATGCTTTTAGGTTCCTAAGCATCTTCTGTCTGTTTTCTCCCAGCAACCTGTACTCCAAGTTGAGACTCAGAACTTCCATATTTTTATCAAGCCAGTGATGACATGAGAAAGAGGGAAAGGTGAAAAACACACTGATTAAATCTTCCTCAGTAACGACCTTTGATATAACTAGCAACCTTTGCTTCTGACCTACCTACGTGTCCTCACTTACAAGCCCCACTCTTAGAATCATCAGAAAACCATTTGCTGGAGTGCATGTGCCCCCACCTGCATCGTCTCACGCATCTCCTACTTGAGTTCATTGTGACCAGCAGGCGTTTCCTAGTGCTTCCTGCTTCCCCTCCTAGATGCTGACAAATCATTTCCCTCGCAAAACTAAGGGTCCACCTAGAAGTTACCAAGGTCTGTTTGCAGAGCGTACCTTAACTTCCACTGGGAAAACCGAATGGCAGCGGGACAGCCCTGTCACTGTGCTGACTTCAGTCCTCGGACTAAAGGGCCCTTTCCTGCTGCAGGATTGTGTGGATCTCTTTCTCTCTCCTTGGCTACCTGCCTCTTTGCCTGGTGCGTTCTGTTTCAGAGAACGTAGATTCTGCTTGAGAGAAGTCACAAGGGCAAAGGGGTCGCTGAAGGGTCAGTACTAACATGGGCTGCACCAGACACTGAGCTGCAGGCTTAGCATCCCTCCCCTCTATTGTCCTAGTCCTGTCTCTGAGACAAAAGAAGGACATAGGCTGATTTCTATGGATCCAGAATCCCAAACTCTCAAGGATTCATAGTCTTCACCAAGAACTATAAGTAAGGGTCTACTCCACACAAGTATTTGTTTTGTTCTCCTTTGTATAAGCTCCATTCCTGGCCTGGCCCCAGGGGAGAGGTGCTTATTACCACATCACACCACCTCGGAATCTCTGCTCGTATTCTTCCCTCTGCCTGACACATACTCCCATCTTCTGCTAACTGTAATCTTGGCTCTTCTTCAAGGCCGTGCTCACGTGCCCCCACCTTCCTGAGGCTTCCTGTGATTAGCCCAGACATTCATTCCTTCACTTAAGAAATATTTGAGGCCTAAGACATGACAGGGGCTGTTCTGGGCACTTGGGAATCTATCAGTGAGCAAAAGGATGACTCCAGCCTTCATGGAGTTTACATTCAAGTATCAGCAATAAACAAAAATGTAACAAAACAGTACGTAATAAGTAATATTCTTTATTAATACTCAATGAAATGATGAACAAAAACAACGTAGAATGTCACAAGTTGATAAGCACAAGAGCACATAAGAGATAAGGCAGACCAGGGGGGATCAGATTGCAATTTCAACCATGGTGGTCAGGGAAGACCTCTCTGAGAAGTTGGCACCAGGTAAGGAGGAGAGGATAGAGTGAGCCAAGCCACTGGGGAAGCCTGTGATGCAGAAGGAAGGAGCACGGTGATCTAAGGCAGAAGTGAAGAGGGAGGCAAGAGTCTGGAGAGGATGAGAGAAAGTACTAGTTGATGAAATGCGAGAAGTCAGGGGAGCCAGTTTCCTCGAACTCCATAGCGATTCACCCTTTGTTGCTAGGTTATCATGCTGTGTTTTAGGGTAAGTCAGTGTTTACACCTGGGACTACAGAGTGAGTTCCAGTGTCACCAGAGTAGGGTCCTTTCCTTGCACTGGGTACCTGTGGACAAGGGCTAGATGAATGAGTGTCTGTGTAGACGTGCTGAGCGGAGCAGCAGGGCAGGGAGGTTGCTATGAGGCATACAGGATGTGGCTGCGTGCTGGAGTGAATTCAAGGGTCTCCTGGGATCCTTTACCTTCCGTGACTTTACCCAGTGCTTCCCGAGGCTAAGCCCCACCTCTCCATTTCTCCCTTCTCTTCTCAGCGTATGATCTCCAGGTTGCATCTTTGGTGATTTGACCACTTCCAAGAGCCAGGCCCTGGTACCGCTCAAGAACTCGTCCCCACTTACTGCTTCATTCCCAGCAGCTCCCAAATTCACCAGCAAAAAAGATTGCTACTATAAATAAAATAGGAAGGGTCCCTCTAGCTCCAGAACTGTGCAGTTCTACTCATAGCTCCTGATTGTAGCCACTCTGATCTGCCTCTCCATTCCCTGGTCATGGCCCAGAGTCAGACAAAAGGCCCTGAGAGAGTGGCTGTTGTGCTCACAGAGGTGGGCAGCTGCTTCGCCCATGCTGACCCTCTCCTTCTTTCTCTTTTACAGCCTACGAGATTGTCATAGAAACAGGCAACGGGGGCGAAACCAGGGAAAACGTCTGGCTCATCCTGGAGGGCAGAAAGAACCGATCCAAAGAGTTTCTCGTGGAAAATTCTTCCAGACAGCGAGCCTTTAGAAAGTAGGAAGAGGGGTGCCCATAAGGGATGGGTATGGGGTGGGTAAGAAAGGGACTCCAAGTGTCTCCCTCCTCGGGGGAGCCATAGGGCTACAAATGGTCCTAATCAGCAAGTATTTATTGAGCACCTACTGTCCGTCTGTGCCAGTCCTGTGCTACCCACTGTAAACACCTCCTTCCACCACAGGCACCCTCAAACCCACTTCATCTGCTACTTCTAGAACTGCTTGTTTAGTTTCCACTTCCCCCTCAACTCCACTCTTCCTTTGTCTCAGTCCATTTAGGCTCTATAACAGAATGCCTCTATTAAGTAGCTTAAAAGCAATAGTGACTCTTCTCACAGTTCTGGAGGCTGGAAGACAGAGGTACCAGCAGAGTGGAAGTCCAGTGGGGACCCACCTCCGAGTTCACAGAGCCACCCTCACTGGGTTCTCATATGACAGAGGGATGAGGGAGCGCTCGGGTTGCTTTTTTAGGGACACTGATCCAATTGGTGAGGGCCCCACCCTCCTCACCTGATTGTTTTCCAAGGCTCTCACTCAAATGCCATCACTGTGGTGATTAGGTTTCAACAGATGAATTTTGAAGGAACATAGGCATTCGGTTTACAGTAACATTTTATTCAAATTTCCTTTCCACCAGGACAAAGTCTGAGTTCCTTACACGTACACTTTCAGACCGCCAGATTGTCCACATGCCCACCTCCTCAACATCATTTCTCCCACTCAACCCAAATTCTGCCCAAGCCAGCTGTGCCTCCACACCCCACTATTCCCATCTATGCCTTTGATAATACAGGTCCACATCAGAGGACACTTCCTTTTTCCCCTGCCTTCTTCTTCTGGTCCCGCCACCATCCTCAGCTCTATACCCGTTGTGTCATCCTCCTCCCTACTCCATCCTGCTTAACAATAGCTCATTGGAGCTGGAACCAGGCAACTGGTTCAACTTTTTCATTTTGAGTATCTTGTTCCAAAATTAGGCTGCATCCCTCAAGGAATGCAGGACTGACATCAGGCCTTGCCCACCATCCTACCTTGGAATGCAGTAAGCACTCAATAAATACTTACATTCTTCAGTGGGCATGGACAGTTCATTGTACACATCTTTGTCTATTGCAGAGGGACTATAGACACATTTGAGTTTGACAGCATCTACTTAGGGGACATTGCCACTATCTGTGTGGGACACCTGGCCAGGGAGGACCAGTTCATCCCCAAGAGAGAGCTGGTCTGGCACGTCAAGACCATCACCATCACCGAGATGAAGTACAATAATGTGTAAGTATGGTGTGGGGCAGAGATGGAGGCTGAAGAGGCCGGAGGCCTATAAGACAACAGGAAAAGAGGCAGCTGCCCTGTTCTGTAGCTATTTGCACTATGAATCTACTGCCAGAGGAAGGAGATTAGACTAGGTGACCTTATGTATGTCCAGCCTTTGAATCCAGGGAGGCTACCATGGAAGAATGCTGAGAAAATCACATGGTGCCAGACAGCAGAGCTTCACCCTGCCTTCCCCTTCCCTCCCTCTGTAATGGCACAGAAATACAGCTTTAAGGCCTGCTGCTCAGGTGGTCACAGTGAGAGCCTCTCGGTAGATAACGAGAGACCAGAGACAAGAGGAGCCACCTAAAGGCACAGCATGGATCCCCATGAGAGACTCTGTATTTCTCCCATCAGGGCCTTCTGGAGACTTGAACATTTCTGGAGGATTGGGAGACTTAGTTACCCAGGCAACCTAAGCACAGCTGGCAAGTTGTCTAATTAAAACCATTTGATAACCATGCTGGAAGCCACAAAGGGCCCAGAGGCGCTGGGAGGTCAGGAAGACTCAGGGAAACAACCAGCAAGGATGGGGAGAGAAAGCCAAGGCCAAGGCTTGCCTGGGAGGAGTGAGCAATTTCTGAGGGTGCAGCCCACAAGGCCAGCCTGCCTCTGCTTGCTGGGGCGTCCTGCCCAGGACCACTTCTGACTCCTTTCCCACCATGTCCCCTCCCAGGGCTGGCCCTACCCATTCACACACTGGAACCTCTCCTAACCCCTGCACCTAGGTACAGACCTCAGGTTTCAGGCCAGTTCCTTCTCTTAGGCTCTGACCTCAAAAGCTCAAGTATCTCAAATCAATGGCTGCCCATGCTCAACCTGTGACCTGCAGGCTTCCTGCATTTGGCTCTTCTCCTGGACCAAGCTAACCCCTCTGGAACTGGACAGGAAAAGGCTCTGATCTTTGCCCTTCTGTCTGAGTCATGTTAGGCTGCCATTGTAAAACAACATAGACTGAAAAGCTTAAACAATACACAGTGACAGAGGCTGGAAGTCCAAGGTTAGTGTGCCAGCATGGTGAGTCTCTGGTGAGGGCACTCTCAGGATTACAGAGAGACAGCTTCGCATGTTTCCACATCACAGACAGCAAGCTTTGGTGCCTCTTCTTCCCTCTTAGAGTGCTAATCCCATCATGAGGGTCTTCCCCTCATGACCTTATTTAACCCTAATTATATCTGAAAGGGTCTCTCTCTAAATATCACATTGGGAGTTGGGGGTTCAACATATGAATGTGAAGGGGGATATAGTTCAGTCCCCATAGCAACTTCTCTCCTGGCCTGCAGCATTTATTGCTCTTTTAAGGAAAACGCAGCCTGCATACTGTAAGTCCTATAGGAGATGCTGGTTATGCCTGTAGGGTTGAGAGCTGAGAGACCAGCCCCAAGAGTCAATGGCTCACCCAGAGAGTTAGAGCACATCAGAGGCCCTTGGCCTGCCGGTGTCACCTCCTTACCAAGGGGAGCATGGCTAGTGATGCTGCACCTTTAAAACCCCAGAATAAGCAAATAAAATAGCAACATAAGATAGTCATCACTCAAAGTACCTTTAAACCCACTATACAGATAAATATACAGATATAGGTAGAGACAGAGAGATATCGTAGCATCTTCTGGTGCCTTCAGCCTTGGGAAGAGGGGGGAAGTGAAGCCCAGCCCTGATCTCCCTGGGTCAAGTTGTGAGATTTTTGTATCCAGTAGAAAGAAGCAGCCTCTCCCAAGTGCAGTATCTTTTCCTGCCTGTTGTCTATCTGTAGCTGAGGCTGGAGCTGGGGGAAGAGATGTCTGTGGGGAGGGGTTTTTCCTGAAGTGAAGCAGGAGTCCAGGTCCCTGGATGCTGAAGTTGTCATCAGATAGCTGTGCAACCTCAAGCAATTGACTGTCACCTCTTTGGACCTCATTCTGCTTGTTGCCCCTTTGAGTCTGGCCAGAGGGGAAAGACAGCCAGAATGCCAACTTGGGGTGTTCTCAGAAGTCTCAGCCCACCCTTGCCTGCACAGGTCTTCAGTCTGTGGTTCCTGAGAATGAGAATCTCTCTCCAGAAATATCACCTTCATCCAGCTGAGCAACTTTGATGGTAGATTTAATCATTGCAGCTATTTATGTGGCAGTGTTCTAGGGCCCACTTCGCGTCTACATTATAAATACCTCCCAGTACAGTGCATGTGTCACAGTTCTTTCCCAGCTATCACCATATCCATGTTTGAACTTCCGTGAATTACAGATGAATTTAATCACAATTTCTTGTAAGCACAATAGCCTCAAATTTCTGTCTTCTAAGCTTTCCCCGTTCTGACCCTCATTTTGCAGTGTTCGTTTTATCTTTCTCTCCAGTTCTCATTCGTCACTATTGTATTCAGCATTTTGGTGGAAGAGCACATAGAGAGGCTTTTATTTATTTATTATTTATTTATTTGGTACCAGGGATCAAACTTTGGTACCTTGTGCTTGCGAGGCAGGTGGCAGAACCACTGAGCTAAATCCCCAGCCCTTTTTATTTATTTTTAAAACCAAAAACATCTTTCTGGTTTTATCCCAATAGCATATCTAATTTGTAATCCTTATAAAAGTTCTAGTCATACAGAAAAGTAGGTAAAAAAAAGTAAAATTTCCCTAAGGCCCTACCTACCAGAGTTGGCCACCGTGAGCATTGACTTCTTTTTCTCTGGAATTTTTTTAATATTTCACATATACAATGTTCACAGAAGTGTGATTACATTATATATGTTTTTTAATTGACCATTTCTTTTTATTCTTCTTTTGCTTTTGCCTTTAGTCTTACTGGCTAACCTACCCTCATCCCCAACTAGACCCACAACTCCACCAAAACCTTGAGTCTCACATTTTTGCAATCTAATTATGTCTATTAGAAAACATTTCCTTATATCCACACCGGGGAATATTCTTTTAACCATTCAAAATGCTGAATAAAATATGTACCAGATGACTTGGAGCAATTCCCAGGAAGTATTGTTGAGTGAGGAAAGCAGGATACAGGAAAACTTGTCTTATATGATGCTGTTTAGTAGAGAGAATACTGACATCCCCATATGTCCATGTGCATGTGGGTCCAGAAAGGATTGGATGGAACGGAAGGGACTTTGGCAATCTGCACCCTCAACTATCACACAGGTTATCTGAGGTAAAGGTGGGGTGCCAAAGTAGAAAGGAGAAGAAAGAAGGAGACAGAGCTAAGCAAAAAAGAAAAGAAAAAGTGCATTTGAAGAAATGCGTACATGATCACATGACTTATGCATTTACATAAAGCTATGTATATTGGTGGGCACATGCATAAAGAAATACATTTTTAAAATTTGTATAACAAAGAATGCAAGCTATTACCCTCCAAGAAAGTCTGGTATGTGATAAAAGTCCAAATGCATCAAATGGGCAAGAGAGCTCTCAAAACAGACTAAGGATTTCCTGTGAAGCACCTTCAAATGCCTTGATCTTCAGAGGCAGACAGACTCCTGGGTCTGGGTCATCCCAAGAGGTGACTTTTCTCCTGTAAGTCTTAGTTTCTGCTTCCATGAAATGGGAGGAAGATGGCAGGGCCGTTGTGGGAGTTCAGGAGGTCCAAGAATGCAAAGCCCCAGCCTTTGGTGAGAAACCAAAAATTTTTTGCTGTTTTTTTCAACTAGGGCTGGGTGTGTAGCTCAGTAGTAGAGCGTGTGCTTAAGTATAGGTGAGGCCCAGGTTCAACCCCTTCACCAAAGGAGAAAATAAATCATCTAAAATAGAATTTGATTTTTCAGTTTGGCACACCTTTGCATTGCTACACTGCTGAAGTCATTAGCCAGTAGTAGGACTGCTTATTTTCTTTCTTGCTTTGTTTTTGTTTAACTTTATTTTTTCTCTCTGTACATATTTGTCATACATATTGATCACATTCATCAGACGGAATTTGTACCTGTACATAATATATCTTGATTCCCATTCCCCTGCCCTTCTTTCAATACTTCTTCTCCTCCCCATTTACAAAAGCTTTGTCTCCATTTTGTCCTTCTAGCCTTTTTTGTCCTTTTCTCTTCCTTCCCTTTCCCCTTCCCCCTCCCTTGTTCCCCTTCCCATTTGAATATTTTCTATTTCCCAGTATCTATCCTCCATTATGCTCCTTAATTACCCTTTGGGTTTCTCACATAAGAGAAACGATGCAATATTTAAACTTGTGTGTCCAATTTATTTCACTTAAGATTATGGCATTAAGGTAAGATTGCTATTTTCAAAGCTGCTCATATATTAGCAGCTTGATGTGGGAAGAAAACTTAGCAATTGTTCCTTGTAAACCTAGGAAGCATGAAGTGGGGAGACAGTTAGGGTGCCCTGAGTATTCTCCAGGTAGACGATGATGATGACTGGGACCAGAGCAGGGTAGGCAATGAGATCCTGGGTGGTTTTTCACATGGACCAATTCTGGTCCATGTTGAAGATGGGGGTCAACAGGCTTTCCTTACAGATTGGATATAATGTGTGAATGACAAGAGTAGAGAAATGAAGGAACAGGAGGGATGAGTTGTCACTCCACTGTAAATTTTAAGATCCACCCTAGATTCACATTTTAAGGCCAATAGTTCCAGCTTCAATATACTGGGCTAGAATCCTGGGAAAGAAGCACTTATGGATGACCAGGCTCTGTGGAGGATGTGACCCCGGTTGACGTCTCCTGAGAGCACCCTTCTCTCTCACCCTCTGCCAGGTACTTCTTTAACTGCGACTGCCTCATCCCCCTCAAGAGGAAGAGGAAGTACTTCAAAGTGTTTGAGGTTACCAAGACAACAGAGAGCTTCACCAGCAAGATCCAGAGCCTGGTGCCCGTCAAGTATGAGGTCATTGTGACGACGGGCTATGAGCCAGGGGCGGGCACCGATGCCAATGTCTTTGTGACCATCTTTGGGACCAATGGGGACACAGGCAAGCGGGAGTTGAAGCAGAAAACGTGCAACCTCTTTGAGCGAGGCAGCACTGATCGCTTCTTCCTGGAAACACTGGAGCTAGGTGAGCTGCGCAAAGTGCGGCTGGAACATGATGGCAGTGGCTATTACTCAGGCTGGCTGGTGGACAAGGTAGAGGTCACCAACACCAGCACTGGGGTGGCCACTATCTTCAGCTGTGGCAGGTGGCTGGACAAGTCCAGGGGGGATGGGCTTACCTGGAGAGACCTCTTCCCTTCTGTGTGAGAGGCAGGGGCTTGACCACACCTTCCTGCCTGCACCTTGGTGTTCAGCATCCCATTCCTGAGACTTCCACGGGAAAGGATCAGGGGTCAGAAGTCTGCGGAGAACCTCATGACCCTTCAGGGGCAAGCAACTACTTGTGTGAGAGATTATCTGTGGTGTTCTGCTCCCAATTGATTGAACATACAGGAATCATAACCAGCATGTGTCATAATCTGTGATTGCTCAAAAATATCTTGTTGCATTTCCTTTTCCTATGATAGCAGTGATGACCAGGTTGGGATTTGCTGCAGGGTGTGGATGGAAAATTGGGGCTTCACCCAGGGGAGAGTAGTGGGGAAGGAGAGGCCATCAAAATCATATATTTTAAGCAAAACCTAATTAACACTTTTTTCCCAAAAAGCTGGGCTAATTAAATTATTATCAACCACACCCCACAAAGAACTCATCACAGCATCTGCTCACTAAGAAATGTATGCTTTTCCCTTGAGTCAATAAATCTAGTGGCAAATGGAGAAAAATATCAGAAGGGTTTGGGGAGATTTATGAGCCTATTGGAAGCAGGCAATTTTTTCTGCCACTGTACAGAGAACACTTGGTCAAGGAGATGCTGGTTAGCCCAGTCCATCGTAACACAGTTGGGACAAGCACAAGGTGATGGGGGTGGCACCTGGAGCAGCTCAGTCACTACTAGCGTGAGCTGGGAGGACCAGTTAACCCATGATGCCTGTGGCTCTCTGAGGGCAGATTGAGCTGAGAGCACAGGGGATCAGGGACAAAACACACATGGTCTCTGTCCTCATGAAGGACATTACTTTGATGGACTGATAGCAGGAGAAACACATACTTGTTCCTGAACGAGGATGCACACACACACACACACACACACACACACACACACACATACACATAAATACACAGAGGGACACATGTGCACACATATTCTCCCTGGTCAACAGTCACAGACTCAGGCAAAATTCAGGCAGAGTTCAGTCCCTGACTTCTGATTTCCTGCAGGTAGCAGGGCAATAGGAATGAGAGCAATGTGGGAAGTCTCCCCCAGAAAAGCACTGATTCCAGCTTCTGCAGCCCTGCTGTGTCAGCTGGGCACTCTACCCCAGACCGGTCTACACTCTGTGAGGCTTTGTGACTCTGGGGGCAAACCCAGGCAGCTGCAATGCAGAGGCTCTTCCTATCTGGGCCTGCATCCCAGCTCTCCTTTTAGTAGCCCTGAGACCTTGGGCTCATTGCTAAAGGTGATGGCCTCAATACTCCTCTGCATGCCAGTAGGTAACAGAAAGTCTAAGAAACACTTGAAGTCACAAAATCTGTTTCCAATCTATAATTCAATGACCAGTGCAAATAAAAAGACCAAAACATCTAACAAAAATGAGCCTCCTCCCAACCTACAGCTCAGCCCTGCTGGGAAGGAGGGCTGGGAGTGTGAGTGTGGGTGTAAGTGGGAAGAGTGTGTATATGTATGTGCAAGTGTGTGAACATGTGTGCATAGATGAGTGTCAATGACCCTCACCTCTTTCCCCCTACATTGTCCTACTCCTCTGCCCCCTGCCTGCCTCCCAGTTTCTGACTCCCCTAGAGCAGGCTCAGAGGTGGAGTATGAGAAAGCTTCTGGTTCTGTATGCCATTTGTGGTTGTGATACCAGACAGGATCTTTTGGTCCAAGAACAATGGAAATGAGATGATGCCAAATACCAGGAGCACACGATATTTTGCACAGGTGAAGCTTTATGGTGGTGGGGAGTTTTGCTAAATGGGGCTTCAGCCGAAGGGAGTCCGCTTTGAAGACAAGTGACCAAATTGCTCATTGAACAGAAAGAATAGCTGAAGTCCAGCAGTTTCCATTGGCCTGTGGAAACAGCCTAAAAGATACTTCTTGTGACCACTGGGTGGTCATGGGCAACATGTCCTAGGAATTTCTGGGTTAGTCTTGTAGTTGCTACCATCATCCTGTGTGAATATTCTGGCCTTGTGGTTTGGTCTGGGCCTTATGAGAGGACTGAAGAAGCACAAGCATAAGGGTAAAAAAACTAGATTAGAACAAGAAAAGAAAATACATACCAACTCCAACAGGCAATGGGCCAAATTATCCTTGTAGTTTGTTTGTTGTTGTTCTTGTTGCAGTACCAGGGATTGAACTCAGGACCTTTCGCTTGCCAGGCAGGTACAGCACCATTGAGCTAAATCTCTGGCCCTATCACTACAGTTTCGACAAAACATTTTTTAAAGAATCAACATGTGTAGGTACAAAATGCATAACACTTAACCCAAGAGCTAGGAGAGCAGAAGGGACAGACATAAATGTAGGCAGAGATGCCATCTTAGTCACTTGCCATATCTCTGTAGGTTCATGTGAAGATTCCGTATTTTCAGCAGAAGTGGCCTTCCAGGTCCCCAAAAGAAGTCTAGGCAACTATTATCATAACCCAAACATCAGAGGTGTTGTCTACAGCAAAATTAGTTGGAAACTGACAATGTATTACATAGCTTTATTGCTCCCAAAATTAATGATTTTTAAATTAAATACAAGAAAATGAAGCTAGAGATCTTATTTAGGATTTTTTTTTTCCTCAGTAACAACTCCCTCATCTTGTGCAAACATTCTGGTTTTGTGCTTTTATTGGGATCTCATAGTGGGTCTGTTGAAAATGTGCTAACAAGGCTAATAGTTAACTGCATCCAGGGTTGATTTTGTTGCCCCAGCCTTTCATCCTACCATAATGGTCCCTAACAGTTTCACTTGGTGTCTTGCTTTCTAAACCTGGTGCACATTTGGACTTTGGGTCATGAGCACTTCTGTGGGTTTGGGCCTTCACGCTAACTTCTTGGTTAAGATCTAGGACATTGCACAAGAGTCCAAGGCATCCTTTGCTCTGATAAACTTTGGACATTTGGGGCTCTCATCCCTTTGCCTTCAGCTGCCAGGCTACCTCTCACCTCTATGCTTTCTCCAGATGCACCGAGCCACTTTGCCCTCAGCCCAGGTGGACACATGCCTTCTCCAGACAGCCCTGCTGAGGCCCCCGTCACGACCCTTGGCTGAAAGGGACCCTGACAGCTTTCTTCCCTCATACCCACTGCTTCCACCCCTCGTTGTAACCAGCAGGAAGGTGCTCAGCTCGGAATCCAAACCAATTTCCTGCCACATCCTTTTGGCAAACCTGCACAGTGGTCTTACTGCAGAATATGGCATCTGTAGTCTATTGATTTAACCAGAAGTGGTGCAGAAAGAGCCTCAAATCCTACGCCTGCTACCAGTGTAGTAAATGCTGGCCTTGTGTTTCTCAGCAGGGTACTGTGTACTCTTAGTCAATTTTCTTGCCACCCCTGTCCTGCTCTGATTGCTCCGCTGTCTTCAGAAAGTTTGTCAGGCTCTTGTGGAACTATTACTGCAAAAGCTTCATTAAAAAATTGCATTTCTCTAGTTCACTGGGGTGCTTTATTATCCGTGGGGTTCCTCCCATCTACTCCCCTACGTGAGTCTCCGGGTTCCCTGCAACTTGGGCCACTTCTATCTTGGACAAGTTATCCACAGCTCTAAGCCCACTATTCTATGCTCCAGCCATGCCACACACACACTCCTCAGCTGGGACTGTACCCTCTGCTTGAACCCTCCACCCCTCCATTTCACTAGGACCTATGCATTACATTCTTTATGTTTCAGCTCAAGTTCTCTACTCACTGCCAGGAAGTTTCCCTTATCAACCCCACTAAGACAAAATTAGGAACTGCGCCCTGTGCCCACATCTAGGAGAGGTGTATTGGGATTGTATGCCTCTCCAACAGGACCTTTAAGAAGGGCTATGTCTGATTCATCTTTGTAACTCCAGCACTTACCACAAGGCCCAGTATATAGTACATGCATTGAAACATGTGTCCTGGAGGATGGACGGATGGATGGATGGATGGAGGATGAATGGAGGGGAGGGTGGATGGGTTGCAGGTTGGATGGGTGGGAGTGTGGCTAGGTGGACAGATGGGAGGGTGGTTGGACAGATGGATGAGTAGATGGGGGGGTGTTAGACAGATGAGTCTATTTCAGGATTTGTAATACCTTCTCTGATGAGACTTATCATAGCTCAAGATCTTGGGGTAACCCAATCTCATCATCTCTGCTTAAAATACTTTTAAGAACAAACCCTTTTTTGATACCTGAACTATTTCCCAAGATCTCTTTCCTGGCCAGCCAGGATCATTTCTCCAGAGGCCTATTGCCAAACTTCTAGCAGCCTATCTCTCCTTTGATGGAATTCCTAAGTTCATGAACCCCCAGATTTCAAACTCTCCTTGAGTCATGCATATTATATATTGGTGATAATTCTCCCGAGCTCATCCCTGGAGAGAAGATTGTTCAGGGTTCCTTAGGACGTGTCTATACATTCTCATGGGCTGGGGGAGGGTAACACCAGGTGTCCTGGTCCAACATAGAGCCATGCACTAGACGTCAGTCCTGATCATTCATCTATTCAATAAATATTTGTTGAGCATCTATCTATAATATGCCAGACAATGCTGGGCATACAGAAGCAAGAAAAAAGATAAAAATCCTGGCCTCATGGAACTTAGGAACTGTAGGAAACAAATGTAAATAAATAAACTTTATGGTAGGTTTGACAGAAATGCACAATCAAGAAAATAACATTGGGAAAAGAGGTAGATGGGACTGGAGAGGTAGTTGCAACTGTAAGTCAGGTGACAGAAAGTTGACATTGATTTAATGAACCTCTAAAGGATGGGAGATGACACTGTGTCAACATCTGAGAGGATCGCACTCCAGGCAAAGGAACAGCAAAGGTAACCCGGGAATGTCAGAGGAAAATCAAGAAGGTTAGGGTGGTAGAAACAGCATGAGCTAGAGAGAGCCAGTAGGAGATAAATTGAGAGAAGTTATAAGTCTCATAAGACCTCCCTTGAAAGTTCCTGCCTTGTGCTCTGAAAGACATGGAAGCCATTGGAGGATGTGGGCAGAGAGTGGCATCATCTAACTTCTTAGCTGGACCACTCAGGCTGCTGCATTGAGAACAGAAAAGAGGGCAGCATCTGGGAAATAGATAAGTGATTATTGCAGTGGTCTAGGCAATAGGTGAGGGTGGATCAGAACAGGGTGTGGTAGTGAAAGTAGTTGAAAGTGATCAAATTCTGGCTCTATTTTGAAGGCAGAATCACAGGATTTGCTGAGGGGTTGAATGTGAGATGTGAGATCAAAAAACGAGCTAGTGGTATTGTTAAAAATGTTTTAGCTATGCACTTGGAAGAATAGAGGTGTCATTTCTTGAAGTGGAGAAGACTATGGAGGAAACATGAGTTTGGGGTTCACTGGCTTTTGTTTTGTAGGTGAAAAGAAAGCAGGAGCTTCCAGTGAGTTGTCTCTTAGACATCTGGGTAGAGAAGTAGGCAGGCAGTTGAATACAAGCTCCATGTTTATGGGAGTGATGGAGCATCTAGGATGACATACTCAGATGAGGGAATTATCCCCATTTCCTCCTCTTCCCTGAGCATCCTTGGACACCCGTGGTATAATGCCAAGGCCCAAGGACCATGACTCAGAGTTGTAGGGGAGCAGCATGAGACAAGAGTTGAGGGTTCTGGAGTATGGGTTCAGATCTCACCTTTTTTTCCTAGCTTGTGACCCTGAGCAAGTCACAGACCTGCCTCATTCCTCCTTGTCCCTGAAACCTAAAGATAACCTCAGTACCACAGGGTTGTTATAAAGGTAAGTGAGGCGGTTCGTGTAAGCAGCTTGACATGGTGTCTGGCATCCAGGAAGGGATTAAGATGTGTTAACTGTAACTGTCCTCAGTCCTAACCCTGCCACTTGCTCAATTAGTGACTAGATATTCTCCCAGTCTTCTCCTTCTCTGTCCCGCTATGGCTCTTACAAGGACAAGTGCCTACAGCTGAGCCTTTCACCTCTTGGAGTCTTTGGGAAGCACCCCAGCCCTGTGGAGGAAGAGGCTGCCAGGCAGTTGCCAAGACAACTTCAGCCTCAGGAATAAGCAAGTGAATCTGGGCGGGCAGGGGTAAATTACAGAAGCAGACAATGACTTTGGCATCTTCTCTGCTTTCTTTTCCCTGGTACCCTCGCTTCATCACCACACTTTGTCTTTTCCCCAGTCCAAGGAGCCAACTCTTTCTAGTAACTGATGAGGCTGAAAGTGTCCCTTAGGATATCATGAAAATGCCCTTAATCACACAGCTCTGAGGAAAAGAAATATGACAGCTTGGTTCAAGCTGCAGGATCAATGGAAAACTAGGCGGCCAGCATATGTGGATGAAAGATTCTGGGCTTTCCTTCAAATCCCCAGTTCCCTCAGAGCCCCAGTTTGGCACCCCCAGAACTAAATGCTTTGACCCCGTGCCCTGGCCTCCTGCAGAATTGCTCACTCTGTCCTAAAGCCATAGCCTCAATCTAGTTCCAGCCAGTGTGGAAAATGGTGTCGTGAGACTGTAGCAAGTGTTGCTGGTCTCGGTCTGCTGCCCTCACTAGGGACTATGCTAAAATGTCTTTGAGGGACGCTGGACAAGCTCCCTGTGTCTAAGAAGCAGTTGGGAACTACGTGTTGGGCTGTCAGGACACAAGTGAACTTTCATCTCAACAGCAGTGTGCAGCCCCTCATTCCCCTCTTCCCTGAGCTTAGGCCCCTACCCAGCATCTCCCATGAAGCTCTCCAGAATTGACACACCCTCTTCTGCAGTACAGGGTGCAGTGTGTGGTTGGTCACCCAGCTAAAGGGGGGAAAGCCAGAAGTCTAACTGCTTGCTGGCCTTGGCCAACCCCACTGTTCACAGCTCCTTGCCTCTCCTTTGAAGATTTTTGGTGCTTCCTATTCTCAGGAAGCTGTCTTCATGTTGGCTCCATGAGCCCTGAGGGGGTCAGTTTTTTCTCTCCACTAATTGCTTTCATCTCCTTCCGCCCTCTTTCATCTTGCAGTGTTTTGTTGACAGCTCTTATCTCCCAGGCCCAGTGGATTTAAGTGTTTCTTATTCTTTTGTGGTCCTTTAAATGAAGCTGCCAGAACAAATGAATTTAATCTTCAAATTTAAATGACATTATCTCCAACATTTATTTTCTACATTCTGGTTTTAGATAAATAAATACATCAATATAAATATGGATGAAGCATCACCCAAGCCTAAAATTTCAAAATCCAAAATGCTCCAAAATCTGAAACTTTTTGAGCACTGATACTATTTACAAGTGATACTATTTACAATACCCCACACCTGACCTCCTGTGATGGGTCATTGTCAAAAGCCAAGAGCACTACAAATATCATACAAAGCCCTGAAGGGCTGTGTGTATATGATGAAACATAAACGAATTTTGGGTTTGGACTTGAGTTCCACCCCAGAGATCTCATATATTTGCAAACATTCCAAACTCTGAAATCTGAAACACTTCTGGTCCCAAGCATTGTGGATAAGGGATACTTAGCCTGAATGTATATCATTGTGCTTAACATATTATCATATACTACCTCAAACTCTTAGAACCACAAATTCAGAAAAATGTAAATAAAAATGTGCCTCCAATATATATCTTAGAATTGGATAAGAGTTTCACAGACCAGACAGAGGCTAGTCTTCCCAGAAAGAAACCTTGCAAAGCAGAGGCACCCAGCTCTGTTGACGGAAATACACAGAACTAAGAAGGTGCAGATGGTGACCCATGCTAGTCCAGGCTTCCTGCTGTCTGGGAGAAGGAACTGAGGGCCGTAGTTCACACAGGGGCAAAGCTGGATTTGCGCAAAGCTGTCTGATGCCTTCCACAATTGCAGGGTTCCAGATGGGAGTCTGCATGCAACCGTGGAGGAGGAAGGAGGGACGGGGTATGGTGGTGGGACGGGGCATGGAGAGAGAGGCCAGGGTCTTGCAGAATTCATCATCTGTCAGATTCCATCTCCACCATCTTAGAGGATTCACCTGCTTGTTGGGGCTGAATATCCTCCTTCCCTAAGAGTGCTGGGCAAGGTTATTGCTAAGTTTATTGTTCAAGGCCGACAGTTATCTTTCCCATGCTGAGGCTGAATGTGAAGGAGAGAATGGCTTACAAATCCTCTAGGAATTGGGTAGGAAAGAGTTGATCTCACCTGGCTGCTATACCAAGACCTGGGTCCTGCCCCATCCCTGCCTTCTGTCCTGGGTAGGTAGACCAAAGGAAGCTCCAGTGTCACCCCATCTGCCACTGGTATAGGCTTTGTTTTTCAATAATTCTCTCCCCTAGGTAGGGCAGAAATCAGGACTGGAATTTAGGTCTGGCAAGGTAAAGCTCAGGGTGCAAAATTTAAGAGGTTCCCAACCTTGGGCTCAGGCAAGTCTGGGAATGAGGTCTTTCTTTAATGTTGCACCCAGGACACCTTGCTGATCTCACCACAGAAAGATTTCTTTTACCTGTAGCACCTACAGAGCTCTGTGCCCCAACAGCCCTAATCCAGAGGGTGAAGCCCATCAGCCAGCCTTGGTGACAGTGAACAGCCTTTTCTGGGGAAACCCACCTCCAGGCCCTCTCACCTCAGTGGGGCCGTGCTGCCACAGGGTCCTGAGTCATTGCTGGCTGCTCTGTGACAGGCAGGCGGGCTGGAATGTCACCTCTCCTCTGGACAAGCCCCTCCTTTGCCCTCAGGGTGAAGGAAACAAGGAAAAGATGGTCTCTTTCTCTGCAGCACTTCCTTCCTTTCCTGCAATCTTGGCAAAAGCCACCAACACCACCTCCCTCCAACCCCTTGGGTATTGACGGCTCACACTGTTGGAAAGTGTTTCCTTATAAGGACAGCTGGTTGAGTGACAAGCTCCATCTTTCCTCACCTGATTTAGAAACAAGTCTGTATTAAAGACTATTTGGAGAGAACCATAATTGTATTGCTTTTGAGTAACTTCTAACAAAGTACTTCCAAATAAATATCCTTGGGGGTCCACTTTAAAGAAAAGGTAAGACTCCATTGCAATTAATACAAGCTATTTACATACAAACTGTTGCACAAAGCCTAAAAAACACTTTTACTTTCAAGAACGTTTTCTTTAAGAAAAAAAGTTCTGACCTTACTTTCTCAAATCTTAGCCTGAACAAATCTTTTTATCTCTTATCTTTGATAAGAGTTAACACAGCTTGATCCAGATCTATCCATTCTGAATTCATAATATGTGAGGTCCAAATGGAAGAGTTCAGAAAGTATTCTGGGCACCCCACTTTCTGAAGACCCTATCCTGAACAGACACCCCCCATTCCTCTCAGCCTCTAGCAGGGCACCAAGATTAGCCCTGTGCAAAAGTCCATCCTCTACCCCAGTACTCTGAGCAAGGGCAAGACCAGGGGGCTTCAGAGACAGAGGGAGGATCACAGCCTGGGATAAAGGGAGTGTGTAGACCTGGAGGAAAAGAGGTTTGGGACTGACAGGCCTGGAAAAACAATGACTCCTTAGAAGGAAAGAGCATTTTCACCTCACATTCCATGGTTCAGACAGGACCTGCTGGTGGGAAGGAAGGTGGAGGTGGTCTGCTCAGGACCTGGGGAGAAGGTGGTTCTGTGCTTCCAGGATCCTGACCTTAGGATTTTCTTCTCGAGTTTCCAAAGATGTTACCAAATGATGACTCCACAAGTCTTGGTTTTAAGGCCTTAGCTACTACCCCTTTGCTGGACCAACAATCACTCATGAGTGGCTGACCACACAGGGAGTGGCCAGAAGACATGGATAGGACCTGGAAATACTCTGGCAGCAGGAGGAAGAGGAGGAGAAAGAAGAGGAAGAGGAAGGAGGGGGGGAGAAGAGGAAGGGGAAGGGGGTGGAAGATTAAAGAGGCAAGGATTTTTTTAAAAAGACAACTTCTTCGCCAGGGCCAGGGACTTAGCTCATGGTGCAGCCACCTGTCTCACAAGTACAAGGACCCGAGTTTGATCCCCAGTACCAAAAAAAAAAAGAAAAAAAAATGCATCATTATTGCCAAAATTTGTAGTGTTTGCTATATTTCAGGCATGAGTTAAGTGTTTACACATGAAATCCTCATACAATACAATCTATTCAGGCAGATACTATTCATTATTCTTACTTTATAAAGAAACTGAAGCACAGAGAGTTTAAGTAACTTGCCCGAAGTCACACAGCTCCCTGGTGGCACAGGCTGGGAGAGGGAGATATGGAGAAGGTGCTAGGTCAGAAGGCGTTTGGTGTTGGGTGAAGACATGCTAGTTGTAGAATAGAGCAAGCGACTGAGGCCCACGGGGAACAGCTCAGAAAGATGCTGAGAGTGGGCCCTGGAGCACTAGGGAGGGAAAGAGAGAGAAGGCAAGGCAGGGCTGCACATGGGCTGCTGTAGAGAGAAAAGGCAAGACTGGGAGGTACTCAGGAGGCCTAGGATGAGGCTCCTTTCCTCCTTGGTCTGAGGGCTCACTAGGTGACCCAGTCATGGGGCCTGGGCAGACAATAAACATGGATATTTTCTAAGAAATTTCTCCTTCCAGGTGGCAGCATCGGAAGGTGGAGAGTGGACAGAGACTAGAAAGGATGTATATATTTTCTCCTATGCTAATCAAGTGTGAAATCCAAGGAAAGAAACTACTCCCCAGTCAAAGGGGCCCAGGCCCTTCTTCCCAGGGCCACCTCCATTGTACTGGATACAGAGGAAACGGACAAAGAGATACTGGAGGAAGGCAGGGCAGAGAGACCTGTGAATTGCAGAGCTGGACCTCCCATTCATGTGATGCTGATGGTGACAGGACCAGAACCAAGAACCTGGTTCTTGGATCAAAGAAACTGGGTAGAAACACATGGAAAACTATAGGCAGTATTGTGGTTCACCTTGAAGCTGGATAGAAGGAATACAGAAAGAAACAAGGAAAACCTTTAAAAGTGTCCTTTTAAGAAAAAATACAGCTTCATAACACAAATGTTACCCAAGGTTGCAATGTCCTTTCGCCTTCCAGGAAAATCAATCTGGGGGTGGGGAGTTCCCAAGAACTTTAAAGACACAATAAAGCCTGGGCAGGTGTTCACCTATAAATTGCTGTCCCTCTTTCTTCATGAAAGCTCACCATTAAGTAGCATATTGCCTCTTAAACCTCTTTATACCTCTCACTACCTTGAATTTTTTTTTTTTTTTTTCTGAGACAGAAGTCAGCAAACCTACAACCTACCCCATGGGTAGAATGAGTCAAGTTCTCTGTCTTCACTTTGGAGAACTTCCTTGGACCACTGGATGACAACTCAGTGCAATACAAACTAGAAGTTTAAATGGCTCATTAACATAAGCTAATGATGGACTCTAATAATAGTGTATCTATATTGGCTCATCAGTTATAACACATATATCCCATGAATGCAAGATGTTAATAGGACAAGGTGGGGTGGTAAAGAGAAGGTAAGTAGAAATTCTCTGCACTTTATGCTCATTTTTCCATTTACCTAAAACTGTTCTAGAAAATAATATCTATTGCTTTAAAAAAAAAAAGTTCATTGATATGGGTTCTTTCTGCAGTCATTTTTCTTTCTGAAAGTCATTTTTTAGTTTATTGGGCCCAATATTAGCTCAGAGTATGTGAATTTGCTTGCTAGAAAGGACAGAAATCCATACCAATCTAGTCCCTTCTCTCCTACAGAGGAAACAAGAAGCCCTCTAATCCAAACATAAAAAGTTAAACTGAAAAGTTTATGAAAAATTATAACTTTCTCCTGGAAGATTCATAGCTAAAGTTTAGAACACAGGTCAATTAAATGATTGATCCATATACATAGGACCAATTCTTCGAGAGACAAAGATAAAAGAAATTGTGTCGGTCAGCTGTCACTGTGATAAAATACCTGAGATAATTACCTTATAAAGAGGAAAGGCTTATTTTGGCTCACAGTTTGGAAGTTTCAGTCCACGGCTGGTTGGCCTGTTTGTCTGGGGCCCTGTGTTGGAATGGCGGCAGGGAGTCAGAGAGAGAGGAAGGACCTAGTCCCAACATTCCCTTCTCAGGCGCACCCTTAATGATCTCACTTCCTGCAACTAGGCTCCACCTCCTAAGAGTCTGCCGCCTCCCAACAGTCTTCCACACACAGGCTTTTGGGAGGCATTCCAGACCCGAACTACAGCAGAAATAGACGAGACAAGAAGGAGGAGAATGAGCGAGTAGAGAAGCGGAATGCGTGAGGAAGAGAAGGAAGCAAGAAAAGTAGGGAAATTATGAAAAAGAAATTGGCGACTTGGTGGGATATGGGTAAATGAAGTTACTTCAAATTTTGTACAAAGACAAAAGTTTGTCCCCCAGACACGCCCTGCATATGCATAGAAATAAAACACCCAGTGCTAGTAAGATGTAGTTAGCAATGCAGTTCATTTTATTAGTTATAAATAAAGTACAAAAAATCCACCAAAAGTGAATCTAAGCATTTACACAATTCCTAACGTCTCCGCTTTTTCATTGATGCACTATTGCTTTAATATTCATAATAAATATTCTTCTAGCTTTCTGCTATAAAATAGTCTATGTAGCAAAATGTTGCACAGCACAACAGAACAGAACAGCAGGAGGGTTACAAAAAAGGACGATCAACACTGAGGATAATCCTTTCACTTACCAGGGGCAACCAAAGTACCCCCTTGAGGGCCTGGTGCAGCAGGCTTCATAGCTGAGCAATGAGCCACTTCCACGGCGGGGGGTGGGGGGGATGGGAATGGGAGAGAGGACAGTGGGGGAGCAGGCTCAAGGGTGGAGCAGAGCAGCATAAAGCGTGCCCATCCGGGAGCCCTGCGGCAGTGTCTGCCAGGCCTGGCAGTGTGGGGGTTGTGCTCACACCAGCATGGCGGGTGGTTCCAAGGATAGCAAGGCTCCAGGGTGGAGGCAGAAGGGGAAGCTAGGCAGCAGTAGGCGGGAAGCTCCGGGAAGGGCCCCATCCATCATCAGGCTGGAGCAGAGATGGGGTTTAGGGACCATATCCAGCCCAGCCACTCAGGGAAGCTACTCAGGCAGTGCGGTGACTCCAGGTCTCCACTCTTCCCAGATGCCAGGGCTGTCCATCTCCACAGAGACTTGTTTGGAGGGTGGAGCTCCCCACCAGGCAAAGGTAGTGATGTCAAAAGCTAAGAAGAAGGGATAAGCTAGACAGGAAAGGAAGGAAAAGAGGACAGAGGCAAGGAACATACTGGGGCCCAGCCCATTCAAAGGCCCCTCTTGGGAGTCTGCACCTTTTTGTTTTGGCTTAAAAGTACCTGGGCTAAGCCCTGTGCCAGCCACTGATGCCACTGCTTTCCCAAGACTCCTTCCCATCACTCCTCTATAGGGCAGTGAGACTAAGGCTCCCCTACCCTCCATAACAACTTCTTCTGCCCACAGATCCCTAGAGCAGAGGGAGAGAGGAGAGACCAAGAGGCAAACTATGTGCCCCAACCTGTGGTCAGTGGGCTATGCCCAAACCACAAAGTTTCCTAGAGATGACAGGATGTGAGTGCCAATCCCAAACACCATAGTCTGGGGCTTCCTAGCCCATTCCATACCTAACAAGGCATGGACTCCAGCTCGCTCTCTGAATGACCACCCAAGCCCTGTGAAAAGCCATGGCCCACATCCAGGCATGTGTCCACCTAACTGACTCCCCTGTCGCCTGAAAGAAGCTACCTATAAAAGGACAAAAACCCTTGTGGATGTCTGCTCTGAGCAACCCCTCTAGATAAATCTTCAGTCCATCCCCTCACCCTATATTTTTCTTTCCTCTCCTTTCTTCTATCCTTCTTTCGTCTCTTCTGAGAGAGTGAGATAGGTCCAGCACGGTGGTCCCCTAGGCCTGTGTCATACTCTGAATGAATCTGAGGGGCCCTGGAGAGTCCCTTTCTCCTCCTTCTCCCAGCAAGAAAGACTCACATACCGAGACCAAGGACTCACAATCGCAGGGAAGTTTGCAGTGGTGCTGGTCTGAACAACCCAGCCCTAACCCAGGGCTCATTCTAATAAAGCAGGCTTTGTGGCTTGCAAACACCCCTTCAGGCAATGTCTGAAGGGCTCCAATTCTGGAACCTTTGAGAGTTTGGACTCCGGGTGGAGACAGTGACCTCCAGTGTCCTGACCTTTCCTCAGGGTGTGGAGGCTGGGAGGGCTGAGGTTGTAGGAAGGATGGGTGAGGGAAGAAGAAAAAGCAGGTTAGTGGGGGTGTAGGGTTGAGAGGAGGGAGCACTGAGGGTAGCAAGTGAAAGGATTAACCCAGTCTGCTGACGAGTGCAAATTATATTTATATATGTGCTAAATACAGTCACTATATTGGAGTTTTTCACTAGATCACAGCATACAGAATCAAAGGTTTGCATTTCGTATGGAATGTATCCAAAGAGGCCAGCACCACAGTAGGACAGCTTGCAATCACACACCCTGATAGTTTGGACGAAATAAAGTTCGCAGAATTTTATTAAAATTTTTTTTTTTGTATTCGTAGTTGTTTGTCATCGTACCAATGCATGCAAAGCATTCCACTCCCAGAAACAACGCCAAAATGAGGTAATAGGAGTAATAAAAAAAATTAGTATCCTTTCTAAATAAATAAATTATAATTAAAAATGCAAAACAACTATAAAAATAATTAAATAAGAACCCACGATATCTACAAGTTAGTCATAAATTATGATTGTTAAATATAAGGCATTTAAACTCACAAAACCCTGTAAACTAGCAACGTGCCATGTTTTTTGTTTTTTGTGTTTTTTTTTTTTCATTTTTGTTTTTCTATCAGCTGAAATCGCTCTAGCATTTGCTCTACGCGCACGCAGGAGATGAAACACGAGGGAACCTGACAGACGTTGCTACAGCCCCACATGGGGAGTGTTCATCCCACTGGCAGGCAGGGGGCTTGGGGAATTTCTTCAGAAAAAAAAAAAGTCTGGTGCTTTTTTCTTCACCATTGAAAAAACTGTGCTTGTTCGTTAGGCGTAAAGAGTTAAGAATACTTGCACGGAGGCGGGAAACCTTTGCAGAAGAGGAGCTTGAGTCCTGCCACAAGTGGTGAGCAAGGATAACAGGTGGCCAGGGTCCACCGGGTGGAGGAGCCTGCGGCCCCTGCCCGCCTCTGCCTGTGCCCAGCCAGGCTTGTGGCATTGGGTTGATTGATTGGCATCTTCGGCCGACCTGCTGCGGTTGTGGCTGCGGTTAGGAGGCCCAACTTGAACCCTGGGGCTGCTCTCTCCCCAGAAGGCACTCATGCGTCTCAGTCAGGAAAGAGTCTGAGTCCCTTGAGTTGAGCAGGAGGATTATAGGTGTGTCCCTCCTGGAGGTGGTGAATATGAGATGCTGAAGCCAGACCCTACCTCTTCTCCACTCTCCTGGGCTCCCTGACTCATCGAGGACTTTGAGGGAGCAGAAGCCCACACCCTGCTCCACTCTTCTCACCCGATCAGCTGCCCTGCTAAGGAAATGGGAGTTGGGAGGGTTCCGGAGTGCCATCCCCCCACATCCCTACCTACAGGGTACAAGAACCCCAGAGAGATGAGGAGGGGAGGGGACTTCAGGAATTACCCCCTCCCCAGCCCAGTCCCTAACACTATCCTGGGGTACTCAGACAGCCTGCAAAGAATGAGAAGGAGGAGGGGTCAGGTCCCACCCTCACTCAGCACATGTGCCCTCAGCCTCTGAAACATGTTCGTGCCCACAGAAGTCCTTTTCAACTGCCTGGTTGGCACACAGCTCTACGACTAGAAAGAAGATGTGTGGATGTTAGGATCATAGAATGTGAGTGTTGGGAGCAAGCATCCAATCCCACCTCTGCGTCACAGCTAGGAAAACTTAAGCCCAGGGAGGTTAGGGGAAGGTGGTTCTAGCATCACACAGTTTGTCAGTGAAGAGCCAGAACTAGAATCCAAGATACCAGCTCTCCTTCTATCCTGGCTCCTCACTGAGCCCCTTCTCCTGCTATCCTTTCAGGACAGCCTCAAGATAAGGAACAGAAGGCTGATCTGAGAGACGAGTGACCTGCTCAGACCATCCTGGCTACCTTCAGGCTAAAGCCATCTTCGGATGAATTCTTGGTTTTGACCCAGCCATTGGAGTAGAAGGAAGAGAATTTCCAACTTCCTGTGGCTATCAGTAAGCAGCTTCCTTTTCATCCTGACTCAGATGTCCTTTTCCCACTAGTGGTACGTCCAGCATTTGCCCTGCAGACATTATTGGCATTATGTGATGAAATGCTCACCACTGCTAATGCTGAATGTTAGACTATTTGCCACTTTTGCACTATTAGGTGTGTGTGCTTTCCCCTCCTCCACTGTGCTCTTGGCTCTCAATTTCCCAGCACCTGCACTGCTAGGCACGCAACAGAGATTTTATGTGACACCAAAAGATTGGCACTGGGAGACACCTTCATCTGGATATGGTTCTGGAGTAACCCCCATTGGCAACTGTGTCCCCCTCTCTGCCCACAGGTGTCCAGAGCAGCCATCCCCCAAGACGGTGTCAGCTGTGTCACCAGGCTTTAACTCGAGCCAAAACTGACCTCCCTGTCAATTTCACCCATTGGTCCTGGTTTTACCCTGGCAGCAGCAATAGACTCAAATTTCCTTATGTGCATGGGACTTCTTCACTTATGTGATAAGGGTCCTGTCCCTAGTCTTACAGATACGAGAGCACTGAGACTGGCTAAGGGTCCAGGGGACGGGAGACTTTAAGAGCAGTGCAAACAAGGGGAAAAGAGGAGGACAAGGGACAAGTGAAGGTGATAGAATTCCAGCTGACCTAAAAGAAGGGAATTGGTTTGGGTTGGAATTTGGAGGATTTTGCTGTCTTCAGTCTTCTGTGCTCCTGTCTCTCTGCTCCCTTTAGGGTCAAAAAATTGTGGGGCGGTGCAGAAAGATACACTGTATCATGTTACTTGGAGCTTCCAGATCTAATCTTGCAAAGCACCCCGTCCCTAAGACCCAAGAGGCTCCCAGAGAGAACAGGGAGCACAGAGCGTGCTAGACAGAGAGAGTTCAGCCTCACTGCATCTAGGCGAGGCAGAGGGAGTGGGGATGTGCTGTTGTTTCTCCCCACTGGAAGGAGAAGGAAACTGAGGCACAGAGAAAGAAAGGGACTTGCCTGAAGTTATCAGAGTCACAGAAGGAACCCAGAGGCCAGGGACATGGGTCTGGGAGATGTAGCTCAGTGTTAAGAGCGCCCTGGGGTTTATTTCTCAGTACTGGCAAAGAGAGTAGCAAAGACAGGGAAGGGAAGGGGAGAGGAGGGGAGGGGAGGGGAGGGGAGCAGGGCCAGCCAACATAGTCTTGGAGCCAGGACCATCTCTGAGGAACTGATTTGATCAGTCTTGAGGCATCCAGAGGAGGTTCAAGGTCCTCCTCAAGGTCTATGGAGCTAGACTTTAGTCCTGAGTGCTGGCTGAAAGCACTCTGGACAAGGTCAAGTGTCCATCACCTATGCTGCCTTATCTGGATCATCTGGCTAATTTTTTGCATAGGGAGACAGTGGCTACATTGCCTCTTTGTGACAGGACAAGAGCCAGCCTAAAGAAAGGGGCTGGAGGGAGCAGGGGCCTCCTGGCTCCCAGGAACACAGGGTCAGCTGGAGCTGAAGGCCGAGTGCTCCCTGGTTCCTTGTGGAACCGGAGGGACAGCAATGAGCCAGAGGACTGGGAAGTCCTACTTCCCGAAAAATTCCCTCACCTGCTGACAACACGTTCTTGAGCCCCTCAGAAGCCCCCCACTAAAACCCCATCTGCTCTTTCCCAGTCCTCCCCTTCTGAGAAGCCCCTTCCACACTCCGTGCACTGTAAACATGAGAAAAACAAAAGCCAAGGAAAAAAACGAAAATGACAACAAAACAAGAACACACCCACAACCAACCCACGCCTTGCAACCAGGGCGA